GATGACTGAAACTCCATGCAAATTAAAGTGTAATAAGCTCAACAAATGTGTAAGGTGAAACTAGAAGTTCAACTGCAAAACTCAGCGGGCAGAAGCCAAGGTTTTGTACTTCTGAAGTGGAACAATGTCATTACCAGATTCATCCAACAAATAATGTTCAGGCTCCCAAGTGGCATCAGAGTAGCCTTGCCACTTGACTAGGTACTGAAGCTGATTCTGCCGGCGGCGGTGACTGAGAATGTTCTCCACCACATAGCGGGCATGACCATCAAGGTCCGTGATAGGCGGAGGCGTAGGCTGTCTCCTATTAGGAATAGCGTTCTTCTCGTAGGCACGGAGTGCCGACACATTAAATACCGGGTGACAGCGGCTGGTATGAGGCAACTTGAGCTTGTAGGCATTCGGGCCGACCACATGGGTTATAGGAAAGGGGCCAAACCACTTGGGGCGTAATTTATGGGATGGTCGGTCCCGAGCTTCAGGAGTCAGGAGGAAATCCCGGTAGACCATTACCAAATCTCCCACCTTCAGCTTTCCCTCGACCCTTGTCCGATCTGCATAGAAGGCCTGACGAGCTTGAGCTGCCACTAACGCATCTTGTGAGATCTTGACCGCGTCTTGTCTTGCTTGCAACCAATCAGCTGAATCTCTGCCTCCCTGAATAGGGTTGAGGAAGTCGGGTGGCGCTCTGGGATTTAGACCGTAATTTAAGAAGAACGGTGTGTTTCCTGTAGATGATTGAGTAGCGCTGTTGATAGAAAACTCACAGAGAGGTAGGAGCATATCCCAGTTATCTTGTTTATGATTTACAAAAGCCCTCAGCACATCCTCTACTATTCTGTTTACTCGTTCAGTTAGGCCATCTGTCTGAGGGTGATTGGCAGTACTAAATGCTAGTTTCGTTCCTAAGCGATCAAACAATTCCTGAAAAAATGCTGCCGTAAATCTTGGATCACGATCACATACAATACTAGAACTCAAACCATGAAGTCGAAATACATGTTGAATATACAGATCAGCACTTCCTTTAGCGTCAATAGTAGAGGAAGTAGGTGCTAAATGTACACACTTTGTCAAGCGGTCTACAAATACATATATAGCATCATGACCTGTATCGGTCCTAGGCAAACCCATGATAAAATCCATCGAGATATCCGCCCACGGCTGACTGGGCACTGGTAAATTCTGCAAGAGACCAGTTTTTAGCTGGCCGCCTTTAACTCGTTGGCAGACGTCACATGACTTGACAAACGCCTTTACATCCAGTCCCATTCTGGGCCAATAGAAATATCTAGCGAGTCTGAAATAGGTGCGATCTCGACCGGGATGCCCCGCAGTCACACAGTCATGGTATTCTTGAAGCAGGGCGAGTCGGAGTTTGCTACTCTTTGGAATACATAACCTGTTCTGTGGTGAAGATCTGAGATAAAGATAACCGGGTGTTTCATTTAGAAGGTAACGGTCGTGCAGATTGTCATGGCTTGAATTTTTCAGTCTCCTGATAATGGGAGCAAGATCCTTGTCGCACTTGTAACCGCTGACAATTAACTGCGCTAAGTCTGGATTAATCTCTAGGGTATGCTCTATGGCATTCAACTGAATGTTAGGAGGATAGGATGACCCGCCTATTTCAGAATCACTGAACAGATCTGGACGGCGTGAAAGCGGGTCGGCAATGTTTTTCTTTCCTGGTTTGTGAAAGACCGTAAAGTCATAGTCAGCTAAAAACTCTACCCATCTTGCCTCACGCTTGGTGAGAGTCGGTTTGGTTCGTAAATAGACAACACCCATATTATCAGTCATCAGGTCAAAGTGGCGGAATAGATAGATTCTCCAGCACTTTAATGCAAATACCACAGCCAACGTTTCCCTCTCGGCCGCAGTATAGTTGCGTTCTGCAGCTGACAGTTTCCGACTACAATAGGCTACGGGATGCAAATCCATATCTTCTCCCTGCTGCAGGAGCACACCCGCCACGGCAAAGTCACTTGCGTCAGTTTCTACCGTGAAGCTTTTCTCAACATCGGCCAGTTGCAACACTGGCGCCTCGAGTAATGCTGATTTTAGAGACTCGAATGCCTTCTGTCTAGCAGCGCTCCATTCAAAGCGTGAATTTTTTCCGGTGATTTCTTCTAATGGACGAGAGATGGTCGAGTGTCGATCTATGAACCTTCGGAAATAGTTTGCAAAGCCAAGAAACTTCCTCACATCAGTTACTGACGACGGAGTTGGCCATGTTTCCACAGCACTTATCTTCTTGGGATCAGGGGAAATTGATGTGCCGTTGATTTTATGCCCCAAGAAGAGAACTTCTCTCACGCCGAATTCGCATTTAGACTGTTTGCAATACAGCTCACTATTTCTAAGTGTTTCTAGAACTGTTTGAAGATGATGCTGATGATCTTCCCAGGTCTTGCTGAAAACTAGAATGTCATCCAAGAATACTACAACGAATTTTCGGAGATGCGGTTGCAGAATAGAGTTCATGAGTGACTGAAAGGTGGCCGGGGCATTAGTCAGCCCGAATCCCATGACTCTAAATTGGAAGTGGCCGAACGGCGTATTAATGGCCGTCTTAGAAACATCCGAGTCTTGAATTCTGATTTGATTGTACCCCGACCGCAAGTCCAACTTGGAGAAATATGCACTGCCCTGGATCGTGTCGAATAAGTCATCAATATTAGGAAGACAAGCTTTGTTTTTGATCGTAATTCTATTCAATTCTCGCCAATCGCACACCATTCTCAGAGTACCATCCGACTTTTTCACAAAAAACACAGGTGCACCGTATGGCGACTTACTTGGCTCAATGAATCCCTTCTCAAGTAATTCTGACAGCTGTGACTGGAGCTCGTCCATCTCCGGTTTCGGCAGGCGGTAGGCGGGTCGAGACGGTGGTCTGGCTCCATCTTCTATCTGGATTTCATGGTCGACTGGTCTCTTCGGTGGAAGCTCATTCGGCAGCTCGTCTGGAAATAAATCCTGGTACCTCTTGAGCAGGTTCTGGATGTCTTGTTGCTCTGATTCCTGGAGTTGTGGCCCGGAACGATTCTCCTCGTTTGCAGCAGTGACCCATGCAAGAAACCCCTCGGCTCCACTCCTCAGGGCATGACGAGCTTGTCGGCCACTGATAAACATGCTTTCCACAGATGGCCGGTCGGCTGTCGGCGGGTTAGCTGAAGGCAATTTGGCAACAAAGGGCTCACCGTCCAACTGAACTTCGTTCGTACGGAAGTTGATGCTGGGGTTGTTCCTTGTAAGCCACGGCTTGCCAAGAATAGCGTCGTAGCGAGTCAGGGGATACACAGTAAAGTGCTGTTCCTCACTGAAGCCCCCGACTGTCACCCTTAGCGTGCGTGTGGAAATCTGCGGGACCTCGCTGGTCGAGCCGTCCGCCAATGTTACGCTCAGCACTGCTGAGCTTGCATCCGTGTCAAGATGATGCTTTCGAACAAAACTGTCTGCAATGAAGTCATGCGTCGAACCGGAATCTATCAGCATCACTGCACGGCGACCGCCGATCTTTCCCTGTATGCGCAGTAGGTCGTGTTCAGGTTCATTGCCGACGCTGACGTTGCTGACATGACACCTTTCTGCAACGGGACAATTTCCTACAGCTATGGGTGTCTCCGGCTCCGTAGGTTCCTGGAGAGCAACGTCTTCAACCTCCAGAGCTCCGAACCGGTTAGCGACTGGTACCGGCGTGGGTGCTTCGGTCGTCGCCAGTAAGCGCACCCCCTTTCTTACTGGCGACCAGCGTTTGGGTAGCGCTGTCCACCGTCAGTACAGTCTTTAGCGAGGTGGCCTGGCTTCCTGCAAGCAAAGCAGTGTCCCATTGCTCGCAGTTGGACACGCTCTTGGTCCGTCAGCTTGCGGAGGCCCTGACCACGGAAGCTGGGCACGGAACGCGACTCTCTACTGGCTGGTGGCCCCGACGCCGGTGGCCCTGACGACTGCTCCACGGTGTTTGCTGCCATGACAGCTTGCTCCAGGGTACGTGGATGCTCACGCATGACCTGTCGCTGGATGTGCGGAACTAGACCCCTGACGAACAGCAGCGCTCTGGTGTGGTGGTCGATTTCCGGCACTTGCAGGCTGAGGCGAGTGAAAGCAGCAATGTATGCGTCCAGCGACCCGCGCTGCGCTGCGGAAATTAGTCCCATACGCGATATTTCCTCGTTGTGCCGTGGTCCGTACACATCGCCAAGTGCCGCTTTCAGAGCAGGCCAGTCGGAAAACACTTGGTTAGCTTCCAATGCCGCTATCAACCAAAGACGAGCGTTTCCAGTCAAAAATCCTGCCGCGTAGTCGACCCTCTGTGCCGCATTTGGGAGTGCCAACGACCGTAGGGCCATGTCCATTGCAAACGTCCATTCTTTGAATGTAGCGGAATCTCCTCCAAACACAGGCGGCTCTTTTGTAAGGCGGGGTGTTGGCTCCCACGGTTCCGAGTTCGGATGTATCGTTCGGTTTCCTTGGCTAACGCGCTGAGCGGTCTTGATATCGTTTATCAGCCGAACGACGAGTACGAGGAGCGTAAGCAGAGCGACCAGAACACCTGCCAAAAGCAGAGTAGTAACCATCCTCTGCTACCAGTGTAACAGGTTTAATCAAACTTGAAAAGTAAGAGGCCTGGTTGAGCGTGCCTCGACCAGTTATATACAAATGTGATAGTATACATGTGGCAATGGCGCCAATGAAGGTGCTAATAGACAGGCGTAAGACGCATGAGGTGCGAGGGAGTGTAAAGTTATAGAGAACAGGGGAAAACTGTTACACCAGTGCTTGATTACCGACAGCTCAACAAGTTGATAGTATCGCATCCTGAAAATGATGCACCAGTGTGTCAGGACACATTTCGGAATTGGAGAGCAAGCGACGATGATGCTGATTACTCGCTGCTAGACATCCGCAAAGCGTACTTGCAAGTGAAAGTAGCACCGGAGCTGTTGCGATATCAAGTATTCCTCTGGAAGGAGAAGAAAAGCGTGATGACCCGGATGGGCTTTGGTTTAGCTGTCCCGCCAAAGTTCATGGATATCGTAGTGAAGTGGGCGACCCGTGACTACCCAGAAGTCGGCAACTACGTTGATGACCTTCGTGTTCCGTCATCTGACACCGATGCCGTCTCCGATGTCCTGCTCAGTTATGGTCTGCCTACCAAAGAAGCGGAGAACATGGAGTCTGCTCGAGTGCTTGGTCTGCAGTAGTTCCGAGGGGACGATGGCCAACTCTGCTGGAAGCGGCGCAACCAGTCTAGCCTGCAGTGTCCTGAGAAGCTGACTAGGCGAGAGATATTTTCTTGGTATGGTCGTCTCACAAGCCACTACCCAGTCCTATCTTGGCTTCGTCCGGCATGTTCGTTCTTGAAGCGTTTGGCTTCCTCTAATGGTGCGGGGTGGGACTCTGACGCGCCTTCTGCTGTTGTGTTGTGTTGTGCTGAGCTTACAGATCGCCTTGCTGCCCAAGACCCCACCACTGGTCGCTGTAATGTTCCAACATCGCCTGACTCGGAATGGACTCTGTATTGTGATGCTTCTGATGTAGCTCTTGGTGTCGTTCTCGAGGTAAATGGCACTGCTGTTGAAGATGCATGTTGGCTGCGACAACCAGGTGAGAAAAGCACATCAATGTAGCTGAATTAGAAGCCGTTGTGAAGGGTCTGAATCTTGCCCAACAGTGGAAAGCACAGAAAGTGAACATTGTTACAGATTCCAAATCAGTGTATGGGTGGCTGACAGCCGTGATAGGAAATACACATCGAGTCAAGACGGGCGGCTTGTATGCAGCGCTTGTTCAACGTCGCTTAGAGATCGTTCTTGATTTCCTGCCAACTATGTCTCTGTCCAGTGGGTTCCATCGAAGCAGAATAAGGCTGATGTTTTGTCACGTGTTCCAGCGACATTTCTTACCGTTTTCAAGTCCTTTGCTAAAATCAGTGATGTTGTGTCTGCTGCTGTTCCCCTCCGAGACAGTCTTATCAGTTTAGCAGATATTGCTCACCACCAGTCAGCTACCAATCAGCTGACAGCACTATTGCAGAAGCCATCCTGTGTGTAGCTGACGGTCAGCTTATGTGTACTGCCGCCTTCAAGAAGATCAGGAGCAAACTCGTCGTGGAAGATGGCGTACTGAAACGCAGCATCAAGCTACCGCTCGGTGAGATTGTGAATGTGCCTGTTATTGCCAAGTCTCTTGAGAGTAGTGTTCTCACTCACTCGCATACACTGACCGGCCATGGATGCCGGGAAACTATGTACCGTTTTCTTCGTGAGCGTTGTTTCGTCGCTGATCTTGCTTCTAAGTGCCAGAAGTTTGTTACGTCGTGTCGTGAATGCTGTGCAGCCAATCCTCGACGAGGTGAGTCCGTACCTCCTGCACGTGCTAGTATCGCTGAGGGTCCTTGGAACATTGTCCAAATTGACACTTTGGAGCTAGGAGCTGCTACTGACTACCACTGTGTACTTGTTAGTTACGATACCTTCACGAAGTGGGTAGAAGGTGTGCCCTTACGGCGTCATGATGCTAAAAGTGTTGCGTCTGCCTTTGTTAACGTATGTGCCCGCTGGGGCCCGCCATCTGTTGTGCGATGTGACAATTGCACTGAATTGTTCAACCAAGTAACTTCTGCGCTGTATGATGCATTTGGAGTTACAGTTAAGAGAGGTGCAGTAAGGCAGCCACAGTCACAGGGAGCTGCTGAACGGTTTAACCGGACATTGTTAAACCTGATTCGCAAGACACTAGGTGATGCAGATGATTGGCATGCCGAGCTTGATATCTTGCTGTACTATTATCGTGTACGTCCACATGCACAAGCACACATTTCGCCATTCCAGGCTATGGTGGGATGGCAACCATGCAAGTTACTAGTTGAAAACGTACAGTGTGAGAAGTCTGGTAGTGCTTGGGCTGATTACATTGAAGCTGCAGCTGCACGAATTCGTAATTATCTTGAGCTTGAATTGTCGACTACTGATTTTGTTGAAGATGTCACTACTAATCTTTATGTTATTGGCGACTGTGTCATGCTGCGTAGGTCTGCCCGCAGGCAAAAGTGTACTTCTCCTTATGAGCCAGCCTCCCCGGGCTGGAAAGTTGAATCTGTTATTTCCCCCAGCACAGTTGTTATTATGTACCGACTGCTGATAATAGCCGACGCTCGAAGCGTGTGAACGTCGACTTGCTGAAGCTGGACCCTGGTGGGTCAGTGGAAGAGTCTCCAGATACCTCTGATGTCGACGATCTCCCTAATGATAACCTGGCTGTTGTGTTCGATTCGTCTATCAGTGAACCTGCTCGCTGTGGTCTGCGTGCCCGACACCAGCTACGGCCGCCTGCACGGTACACTTGACTATTGTGCTCACAGTTTCCAGATTGACTGTTTCTGCTTGATTTGCAATTGGGTCTTTTATTGTTTTTTGTTTGTTTGTATTTGGTTTGTTTTTGCCTTCTGTCACCAGGGGCGTGTAGTAGTAGTGATAATGCATGGTGACACTCAGTGAGGCCTTGATAGAAGTTACTGCTAATTCCTTTACCTTTGGAATGACTGTTGCCGGTTCGAATCCCACAATTGCATGTGTTTCCTTTTTGTGTCTTTTCCCATTTATGCCAATGATGTAATCATTACTCATTACTCTTTGTAGTAGATAGAGTAGTCACATGAGCTTCTCTGATTGGCTGTTGCTAGGCGCCAGTGCCTGGCCCTGGTATAAAGGCAGTGGTTTCTCCTCATTTCATCCTCTTTCTCTTCGGGTCCTGATGACGTCGTGAGCTGCTGCTGGCTACTGTTCAAGTACTGTAACTATGACCTTCTCTTCCCTCTTCTTCTATTCCTCCATTGTTGTATGAAACTATATAACATCAAGAAAGAGTGTCTTGTTGTAGATGTGTGAGTGCTTTGTGGGCGCTAGTGTTTGAGCTAGTTACGATTCAGTAACAATACCCATTTTCAGCAATAATTGGAAATTTGAGCATAATTGTTCAGCTGCTGTAATGGAAAGGATTGAAGCAGTGAATGTGCAGAAGAACATTGCAGGTGTGGCACGGGGTGGTTTCATGACGACATATCGCACATGCCGTCATCAAACTACCAGTTTTAGGGATAAAACAAGGTCCAATAAAATCTCAAATCCTATATAATAATAGAATTCGAAAAATAGGGCACAGGCCTTAGTAATATTGGGCAAGGAGATGAACCTGAGATGTTAATGTTTGAAAAAATTATCTTATTCAACTCTCGATATCTACTGAAGCGGGATTCACAGAAGCTTTTTTGCGATGCGACACGCGATGCGATGCGATCTGCGACGGACGCGTGCGATGCGAACTCGCGAAATACCATTCACAGAAGAAGTCAGTGATGCGACAAAATCTTGCTGGTTTGGCTACGTCACCATGATATTCGCGCGGTTTGACACAACTTGTACAAATTTATAGGCAACTCTTGAATAATAATAATAATAATAATAATAATAATATCTTTATTAGGATGACCCAGAGGCTTGTCGCCTATCAAGAGGTTCACCGCTTTGAAGGATGTACATGTACACGTATGAGCTAAAGTGAAAGTAGTGAAAAGGTGTGCAGCGTGAATGCGTTGGGGAGCACAAGGGGGGGGGGGTTATGTACATGGCGTAGACATACCGGAGAGCGAAGCACTATGTTTGCAAGTGAGTTTGCGAAGCTCATTCTTGAAAACAATAATGGATGGTTCTGCAGTTAGTCTTGGTGGGAGGCAGTTCCATAAGAGGGAGGTTTGGAAGAGAAACAACGATTTTGATGTGGTCTTTGCTTTAGGGAGAATAATTTTGTTAGGGCGTCTCGCACTCTGCGTGATATTGAAATGGAATGAAGCTAGGCAACGTCGATACTTGAAAATAAATTTGTGCATGGTAACCAAACTTAAAAACTGCCTGCGGTAAAGAAGGGATTCAATGTTAGCTTTTTTATTAAGATCCTGCTTGGGTGTATTAAAGTCGATTTGGATTTTGCGTTTCCTAAGGTAGGATCTTGCAAACCTGGCCTGGACTCTATCCAGCTCAGTCAAGTCGCTTGAACGAAGACGAAAGGACCACACTACGACGCTATACTCAATCACAGGTTTAACATAGCACTTGTAGAGGAGCATCATGGCCTGCGGTGTAAGACGATGTGCCATGTGACAAAGTAGGCTTACTCTCTGCTTGAATTTGCGACTGATGTCAAGGTAGTGTTGACGGAAGTTTAGGTCTGCACTGAAGCGAACTCCCAGATGTTTGAGGATGTCAATACTGGGAAGAGGTAGACCCTCCATAGTGTAGGTGGCAGATGTTGGTGCCGGTGATGATGCTGCCGCTGGCTTATAACGGAAGCTTAAAACAGAAGTTTTTGAGGGCGAAAACTAACCTTTGTACAACTTTGCTGTAGAAAAGGTCAAAATCGTACGCCAGATCGCTTGTCGCATCGCGTCGCAAAAGTTGAGCCAAGCTCAACTTCTACGATGGCCTGCGATGGCCGAGTTGCGGCAGTTGTGTGGGGTGCGACAAGGCTGCGATTTGAGGTTTTCCCGGCTTCGCGCCTGTCGCGAATCGCGTGTCGCATCGCAAAAAAGCTTCTGTGAATCCCGCTTAAAGGCCGATTCACAATACAACTTTCTGCGACGCGACACGCGATTTGCGACAGTTGCGACAAGAAACTGCCTGTCGCAAGCTGTCGCAATGCACCTGTCGCAGAAGTTGAAGAAAGTTCAACTTCTGCGACATGCGACACGCGACACACAAATGGAGTACAGTTTCGACCCTGGGTGCACGTGCAATGCACGTGCATATATACTCATAGTATACTTGTGCATGATGATGTCGCAAACATGAAGAATATTGTGAACCGTGTGTCGCTGTCGCAGCTCGTCGCATGTGACGCTAGTCGCTTGTCGCGTCGCAGAAAGTTGTATTGTGAATCGGCCTTAAGACCTAGCAAGGAAGAATTGGTCACATACTTTTTTGCTACTCTCATGCCACACCCATTTTGAGTTGAAAAATATGACCAAAATCCAATAATATAGGATTCAGCAAATTAAGAGATAGGACAAACGAGAGAGCTTGGAAGCTCAGGGCCCTACGCTATGCTTTTTTGCCTTGATGACCTAGATAAAAAAAGCATAGGGATGTTATAAATTCTTTAAAAAAATCCTTTTTTTAAAGACATAACCTGGGATTCGAACCCGCGCTATCGCGCGCCCTGCATGCATCCCCCGATACACTTCGCATACATACTAATTCTTCCAAGTTGTTTCACATTGTGATCTTGCATTTGAAAGCCCTATTTGAATATGCATTGTGGCCAACCGTCTTTGATGGCACGGTACGATATGGGGATAGGTACGGGACAGGTACGATCGAGGGTAATACTACACCGTCTCCCGTACCGTACCGTACCATCAAACACAGCTGGCCACATACAGCTGCCCGCAATATTCGAATAGGGCTTTCAAACGCAAGATAATAACGTGAAGCAACTTGGAAGAATGGGTATGAATGCGAAGTGTATGGGGGAATGCATGTAGAGCCTAGTTCACATTTGACGGGGCGCGACGGGACGCGACGTAAGGATCGACGGGAAGCGACGGGATAGTCTGACGGCGTCCAATGTGAACACCAGGAAAGGGAACGCAACCGTACTACCGTACAGATCGGGAAGCGACGGGAAGAGTTGGATCGATCGAACTTTTCATACCGTAGACGGGCGTAGACGGGGGCGCAAGCGTACAAAACGGCTGCAATTCGAGTGTGAACAGGAGACGGCGTCGTGCGCCGACTGCTCCCGATTCGTACTTGGAAATTTTTAGCATTTCGAACACTGCGCTTCCCATGATCACTCACAGAATGGCTAGCACGACTTGAGTTGAATTTTTGCAACATAAGATCTCATGTCACTTATTGTATTTAGGGATAGTTCAGAAGCGTGACATACGAACTATTCTATCATTTCCTGGGGCTATTATTTGAATGCCACAACTTTCAGAGCATATTTTTTGTCTTCATGAAAAAACTGGTATATATTGTGAACTTGATTCCGCTTCTTTCAAGGAGAAATAATTGAAAAGAAGTCCCGAAAAACAAGAAATTTGGTCCAAAAGTCACCCCGTCACGGACCGTGCCTTATGACTCGCGCCGTTCGACGTTGAACGTCGCAACGACTGCTGCATGTCGTGTCGTACGAATCGTACAGGATTTTACAGCTCACCCCAGCCCTCCCGACAAGCCCTTACGTCCCGTACCGTCGGCGTTGCGTCGAATGTGAACTAGGCTTAAGGCCGATTCACAATACAACTTTCTGCGACGCGACATGCGACTTGCGACACATGCGACGAGCTGCGACAGCGACACACGGTTCACAATATTCTTCATGTTTGCGACATCCTCATGCACAAGAAGTACTATGCACGTGCACTGCACGTACACTGCACGTGCACCCAGGGTCGAAACTGTACTCCATTTGTGTATGTCGCGTGTCGCATGTCGCAAAAGTTGAACTTTCTTCAACTTCTGCGACAGGTGCATTGCGACAGCTTGCGACAGCTTGCGACAGCTCGCGACAGGCAATTTCTTGTCGCAACTGTCGCAAATCGCGTGTCGCGTCGCAGAAAGTTGTATTGTGAATCGGCCTTTAGGGCCTGGTCAGACTGCGGCAAATTTTGGTTGCCTGACGAAAAAAGAACAGCGTCCAGAATTTGAATCGCGATCACACTACACATGTGGGGAGAGTGAAAATTCAAACTTCATTTCGAGCGTCAAGTGGTAATCTCCACGAACGACGTCAAATTCCTTCACCTTGGGGATCGCCAACACCTTCAGTGCAATCCTTGCAACCATCCTCATGAGTTTTGTTGTTGTCCGTGGCCAATAAGCTCCTCGATATCGAGATGAAAAAATCAGTGATTATCAGCGTCAATGGCGTATCAGCGTCAAATCCTGTTTGGAGCGGAAAAGCGTGGTCCGTTCTTGCTTTTTTTTTGGAGCGTCAACTCTCGGTTTTGCCGCTCTGGCGGCAAGTTACTATGGAGATTCGGATTATAATCCTAGGATTATTTCGATTTTGCCGCAGTCTGACCAGGCCCTTAGAGCGATAGTGCGGGTTCGAATCCCAGGATATGCCTGAAAAAATAGGAGAATTGAAAAATTTATAACATCCTATGCTTTTTTGCCGTCAGATACGGATAGCGCCAGGCGTGACACAAACAAACACACAAACAAACAAATACCACATTAAAGCTGTGTGGACCCTGGCTAGCGCCAGACGTTACTGAAGTAACGTCTTCTGCATAGCTACGGGAATAAAGATGATTATGAACCGTTTACAGGAGATAGATTAATAATTAGACATCTAAATAGGGCAGACTTGTCACGTAGAGGCCAAAAAGGCAACGTGTCAATAGCATGGGTACGACATGTGTATGAGAGGCTGTAAATCTGAAACAAAAACAAAACAACAAATGCTAACAAGGTTAGGAGATAACCACCCCTAGGTCTGAGGTATGAAGTAAGCGGCAATCTTCGCCAGGTCACCCATCGGCAGAGGGATTCATTTGAACTACATCCTCTCCAGCAGATGACAGTTTGCCAGTGATGGTAGTGTTATGCCGACCATCGTCTCTACCACCGTCTGATGTGTTATTGTCAATGCTGGTCTCGGTGCACCCCTGTTGCACTACGTTGAGTTGCGGCATGCTCTTGTAAGAGACAAGGTGTGATTGGCGACTATTACGCTTTATGACAGATCGGTGAGTGAGAATCGAAGCAAGCACGCCGGCAAAAAGTGCAACGATCAAGAAGATGACGAGCAGAGCGATATTGATTGGATTGGACAGTGCTCCCTTGG